ATTGACATAAAACCACAATGGAGTACACCTACGAATTTTTGAAAAAATCTGAACCAATATGAAATATTTTCATTCCAAATGTTCATGAAACCTTTTTCAAACTATTGCAATTAATCATGAATATTTTTCAAACATTTTCACTCTTTCTAAGGGCAACTTGTGATGTATTTAAAGCAAACAAAAATTCATATTTTAAATTATCTCTTTTACTCAATTTAAAATTACAATTCAAATATGTTTTAAGAGTTTTTCTCCATCTAAAATCTTGAAACTTTGTCTGCATTAATTAAATATCATTGCGAAATTTTTTGGAGCATTTTAGGGTTATTATATTTGAATTGTATATTGAAAGAGAAGATCAATTCTCTATATTGAAATTGATTCAAGAATAACTTCATATATTCATGTTTGTTCAAAAGATGTAATTGATCACCAAGTGTGTGGTGACATAATTTGTAAAGAAAATGTGTGTATTTTCTAAATGTGTTTTCAAATAGAAAGTGATGTTCTTTCTATTTGTTTGAAAATATCCTTTGAATTGGGTTGATTAAAAGTCCATCATAGATTTTGTGTATATATTTGAAGATTGTAGGAGAGTCTTGGTGTGTGTCTTTTACATTTATGCACTATTAATTTTTTGCTCAATCATTCATAAGTTCTTCACTTTATTCCAGAAATACAAAAGAATAAGATCATCAGCAAAATGACGAGAAATATTCTTAAAACCTAATTCATCCCCCCCTTTTAGATCACACTCTATACTTATGTTTGTATCAGGACAGGTTAAAGTAACTTGCTCATCAATCCAGAAAGACGGCTTCCACTAATCATATTTTTAGAGATAGTGGCAGTAACAACAAACCTCCATGTTTTGTCAGTGAATATTATTATTTCTAAAAAATTTGCATGCAAGCGTATCTAGATGCACAAAGAGAAAAGTTATGAAATGTTGTTGAAAATGATTCATATGTCCCTAAGACGGTCATTAATAATGTATAACAAGAATAAGTAAAAGGCTCCTGAAATGAAGATGATAAGAAGAAAATGTTATTTGATAAAAAGACAAAGAACATTCTTCAATTAGTCCTAGGTATGGATGAATTCTTTCATTTATATCATTGTAAAATAGCAAAAGAGGGTTTGGAATAATTTGGAAGTGAGTCATGAAGGTACAATAGAAGTAAAGAGATTCGAATTAAACACTCTATCACTAGAATACAAGAGGTTTAAAATGTATCCCGGAAAAATAATTCTTGACTTAAAAGAGATTTTTCACATTTGAAAAATCATTTGATGACTCTTGGAAAAATATTAAAAAAATGATTATTTGACTCTCAAAGTTCTTAGATCATTGACAAGAGCATGACAACCAAAGGTGACAACAATATCAAAAAAGAAAAGTCTCTCCAAAATATCTTCGGCCACATTTTTCGATAAACTTCAAGAACATGAAATAGAACTTGAAACGTTAGAAAAGCATAAAAATCCAAGAAAAAAAACCAAAAATCTTGCCTTAAAAACTAGAGTCAAAGACCATGATAGTGAACAAGAAAATGAATCTTAATCCACAAGTGATGAAGATGATGCATTAATCAATAAATTCAAAAAAATCCCGAGAAAGAAAAGGACAAATGAAACTAGTCAAAAAGAAGCACTGACTTCTAGAAGGAAGGTTACTTGTTTTGACAAAAGTTAATGTCCTACACTTCTAAAGAAGAACAAAGTCAATAGAAAAAAATAACAAAAGGCTAAAGAAAACATAGGTGGCATGAGAAGACAATGAGATAAGTTCATATTCAGATGAAGAACAAGAAAACTTAGCATCAATGGCTTCACATCATTCTGATGATAAAATAAATAAGGTTAGTGATTATGAAATTAATGATATACCCTCATACGATGAATTACAAAATGCCTTCTATAAACTATTTGAGGAATGAGTGAATCTTTATAAAAATTCAAAACAAAAGAAATTAATTTTATCTCTAGAAAGCAATGATAATGACACTAATGTGGAATTAGTGAATGTCAAATTTTTTGCATGTAATAAATGTCAAGAACATGAATCAAAAATTGTTGAACTAAATCAAGTTACAAAGAAATATGAAAAGGGTCAAATTTATTTAGAAGATGTGCTAAGTTGACAAAGATATTCAAATGATAAATGTGGGCTTGACTTTTCTAATTTTGATAAACCAAGAATAAGTAAAACCATCTTTTTTAAAGTTAGCACAAAATTCAACAATGTGAAATTAAAGAAAGTGCATGTTGTAAATCATTCTAAAAGGCTTTGTGATATAAATCATTCCTATGTCTATAAAAGGAATCATGTTTTTAGACTTATATGCTTTTATTATAGTACAAAAGGTCATACTCCTAATGACTACTAAATTAGAAACTATGATGTTCTTTATGGATATCTAGAAAGTACTATTGATTGTTTTTGTCGGTACTTGAAAACTATATGGTAGTTTGGTCATATTAAGATTGATTTTTTAAGATAAAAAACCATATGATATGGTAGAATTAAACTTTCTTTTGATTAAAGATGATTTGAAGAACATCAACATTGACATTATAATTGACATCAAATCATTGTGGAAAAAATAAGTATTTTTATCTAATGTATCATTTCTCTTATATTATGATTCTTCAGATTTTATTCCTTTTATTTTTGATAATATCAAAAGGGGAAACAAGAAATTGTTGTTTTTGTTGTTTTTTCAGGATATCAAAGGCACGTGCTTAAATTGCAAAATAAATGGAGAGATATACGTGATATGGAGAGCAATCAAGTGACAAACAAAAATTTCTGATCAAATATATTTAATCATCATTAAAAAGTGGAAGATTGTGAAGAAGACGTTCATAATCTATCTTAGCTTAGTTTTGATGAAGACAAAAACTAAGAAATATCAAAAAGGGAAAATATAAGAACCAATTATCATGATTACATAAGTTTTGAAAATCAAAAGATTAGATAATTGGTCAAGATACTCTAATGATAATTCATATATTTATATAATTTTTAGATGCTCAAAAAACTTCATCTCATCTTTTTTAAAGATTTCTCAATCATTCATATAATATGCTTTATCAAAACATATTTTTTAAAAGGAAATTTTTTAAAATTACATCAGTGCAATGGATTACATATTATATATGCGACAAATTACTTCAAGCTTTATACAGAATTTTGAAAGTTGCTAAAAGTGTAACCGATTAACATAAATGTACAATTACTTTCTTTTTGGTTTGGTTTTAAATTTGTTTAGAATTGTTAGAAATGTAACTGATTGACGTAAAACAATAACGGATTACACCTACAATTTTTTAGAAAAATATGAATTGATATAAAATATTCTTTCCAAATGTTCATAAAATCTTTTCTAAATCATTGCAATTAATCATGAACATTTTTCAAATATTATTACTCTTTCTAAGAGCATATTGTGATGTATTTAAAACAATAATTTTTAGATTTTAAATGACCTTTTCACTCAATTTAAAACTACAATTCAAGTTTGTTTAAAAGTTTTTTTCCATTCAAAACCTTGAAATTTTTTCTATATTAATTATCATATCATTGCAAAAAGTTTTTGAGCATTTTAAGATTATTATATTTGAATTGTACATCGAAAGAGAAGATCAATTTTTCCTAATTGAAATTAGTTCAAGAACTCATATATTCATATTTGCTTAAAGTTAAAATTGATCACTAAGTGTATGGTACATATTTTGTAAAGAAAGTGTGTGTACTTTTTAAATGTGTTTTTAAATAGGAAGTGGTGTTCTTTCAATTTGTTGGAAAGTCATTTGAATTGAGTCGATTTAAAGTCAATTATAGATTTGATATTTATGTTAGAAGATTGTAGGAGATCTAACATAATAAAGTCATTTTGGACTAGATGTATCATTTGTTGATAAGAGAAATTATTACAATTGTTTGTATCTCTTTTTACATTTTGCACTTTTACTTGTAATTTTCTGCACTATCATTCATAAACTCATCATTTTATTCTTGAAAAATAAAAGAATAAAATCATCTACAAAATAATGTGAAATATTCTTAAAACCTAATTAAATCCCCCATCGTACTCTATACTTCTTAAATCATACCACATACTTACAATGCGGTGGATAGTTAACATTTGTATGCTGCATGATGTATGACTCGTAACTTCAAACCTTTATCTTCATGTGGTTTTTATCAGCTGATGTTGCGGGTTTTTGAAGACCAATGTTCATTGAAAGGTTACATTTTTTGTATGAAACTTGCTATCAATTTAATCTATGAGCAACAAAAGTGTGGAGTGTTGGCGTAAGGCTCATATTTTGACTAGAATAAAGAACGATTTATGCACCCAAACTTCTTATCCAAGTTATTCTTGTGTTCGAAAGATTTTATGCAGTATGGGCCAAAGTTGATTGCATAGTCCAGCGAGTAGATACCATTTGAATGTGCCTTCTCAATTATTTATTGATGCTCTTGATTGTATCGAGAGCTTTCACTAAAATAATTTTGATATTTCAAATTAAAAAACACCAATCTTTGTGGACAGGGAAGATGGTTATTTATGCTTCAAAGGCAGGGTTGTTTTCAGTGAAATGAGTTGCAATAGTCACAACAACAATAAAATAGGATAAGTTATAAAGCGGCAGTTCAACACTATTATAACTATACTGCTCCAGCAAACTGCTGTTAGTTTAGAGCTTATGAGTATATGCATCACCGTGATCTGGTTTTTTTTTCAAACTCACGCTCTGTCAGTGTCTGGATATTTATCGAGTATGTCCAACAACTGAGGAAATGTTTGACATTAGACAAGAAAAAATGATGAGGCAAGGAACTTTATAACTTATAATAAAATAACAATTGTATTTCTCAACCAAATGAACCATATCCATACCAAAATTGGCAAAACAAAATACCAAATACAAAATTGTACTTGTACAACTGAATAATCAGATAAAATTAAAGCTCAAATGAAATACTTGATCTACTTCTTGGATTTCTTTGATGGTCTGCACAGAAAACATACATTTAGACAACATAGCAAAAATTTCAACCAAAAACAGAAGTGTGTGCTTAGATACTTACTGGGCAGGCTGGGTTGCTGTTGCAGCTGGTGGTGCTGCAGGTGCCTTCTCTCCGGGACCCTACACATTTAGAATGGAAGGTAAAAGGGTTAAATTCCGCAATATCAAATTGAGCGGCAAGGTAAATGTATTATATAGAATATAGAATATAAACCAACGCAGTGCGGAACTCACTTGAGCAAAACGCTCTTCTCTTCGAGCATGTTTTCTTTCCCTGCTTGCCTTGTTCTTAGCCCTCTTGGCCTCAAACTGATCAGACAATGTCTTCTCTCTTGCCTTCTCAGCCTTGGACTTGTGAATACTCTCCATAAGGACTCTCTTGTTCTTGAATACATTACCCTTCACCTTCATGTACATATCATGGTACATGTGCTTGTCAATTTTCTTTGCTTCTCGGTACTTACGAAGCAAGCGCCTAAGGACACGCATCCTCCTCATCCATAGGATCTTGGTGGGGAGCCTTGCCTCTCTTGTACCCTTCCGCTTACCTATTCATCATTCAGCAAAAATTATAAATTATAATCACAGAATGATGATAATGCCTACCCTGTAGTAAGTAATAAAACTGATAAGAATTCTTTCTGCAATGTGCAAACAATAATCATTCAACTGGGTGTTAGTTCAATTACAATATTAGTGTTGAATGAAAATAGTTAAATACCATATCCAGAATGACGACCCTTCCTCTTAGCCTCCTTCATACGCCTAGCACGGGAGCGGGAGTGGATCTTAGTTGGCTTCCTGATAATAAAGCCATCCTTAACCAACTTCCTGATGTTTTGGCCTACATGAGTATAAAAATGAACATGTTTGAGTAGTTTCCAATAAAAATCATAAAAATGAAATTTCAATTATATTTAGGAGTAGTTTTTCCTGATAAAGGAAAATGAAGCACAGGTTAGATAGGGTTTAAAATCAAAGAATAAACCCTAAAATTGAAATAAAATGTTTTCCAATTTCTGAAGAAATTAGATTTTGTAATAAAGAATAAATAGTGTTTGACACGGACTAGAACAGGGCGAACTACGAACAGATTGAATTATATTATTCAAATAAAATTAAGATTTACATGTAAATGAACCCATTAACAGAAATTAACATCAGAACTAGAAAGGAGGGCAGTGTTACGTGAATTGGCCATGGAGATTTCATTGCCTTCATTTGGATCGAGCCACACCTTTCCTCTGCCGCACTTGAGGACGCTGGCGGCAAGCCTCTTCTGAAGTTTCAGTGACACCATCGTTATCCCCACTCTCTCTCTGATTTGATAAGCTGCCGGCTGAATAGCCTTATATATTTCTAAGAAACCCTAGTTTTTAGACCAATTTTTTTTGGTTCAGACAAATAAATTTAATTTTTTAATGGGCTTTTTCATTTAACTCATGGGCTTAGCTGTTCACAGTTTTTTTTTTTCAACATTTAAGTGGGAAGTCCGTGCAAGCAAGTACGAGTACGTATTTGTTTTCAAAATATAATAAAATAAAAATAATTTTTCTTTAAAATATAATAAATAGGTGTTTATAATTTTTTTAATATATAAAAATATTTGAATAAATAATATATTTTTTATATAAATATTATTTATGTTTTAGAATTGTTGTAAAAGAATATTTAAATTAATAATAAAGTTGTTTTTATTAATATTCAATATTTTGATCAGTAATTTCATATTTTCGTTAATATTTAATAATTTGATCAGTAACTTCGTGTTCCAGTTAATATCCAATACTTTGATCACTAATTTAATATTTAATATTTTGATCAATAACTTTATGTTCTCGTTAATATTTAATATTTTATTCACTAACTTCATGTTCCCGTTAATATTCAGGGTGTGTTTGGTAGAGTAGAAATAAGAAAGAGAGAAATATGTGAGAGAAAAGTAGAAAAGAAATTGATAACTTTTATTATTTGGAAAGAAGAGAAATAGGAAAGAGAGATTAAAAATGGTGGATCCCACAACTTTTGTATTTCTCTTCACTTATGAAGAGAAAGTGGGAAAAAAAACAAATTAGTAGATGAAAATGACTATTTTGCTCAACAGATTATAAATATATAGTATTTTTTAAAGTATTATTTATCATAAAGGCATTATTGTATTTTTAAAATTATACAACACTTTTTTCTTCTCTATTTCTTCTCTTTCTTTTAAACCAAACAATACCTCAAATCTTATTTACTTCTCATATTTTTCTCTCTTCTTACACTCTCTCTTATCTATTTCTCTCTTTACAACTTCTCTTCCAAACCAAACACACCCTCAATATTTTGATCAGTAACTTCATGTTCCTGTTAATATTCAATATTTTGATCAACAACTTCATGTTTCCGTTAATATTAAATATTTTGACCAGTAACTTTATATTCTCGTTAATATTCAATATTTTTATCAGTAACTTTATGTTTCCGTTAATATTCAATATTTTGATCATTAACTTCATGTTCCCGTTAATATTCAATATTTTGATCAGTAATTTTATGTTTCCGATAATATTCAATATTTTAATCAATAACTTTATGCTCCCGTTAATATTCAATATTTTGATCAGTAAAATTTTATTCCCGTTAAAATCAAATTATTAAATGATGTTTGAATCTCTATGTTTAAAAAATCATATTTATCATTCTCAAATATAGCTTGTTGACAACCAATAACCGATAGTATTAATATAATTAAGTTATCATAAATTTTAGAAAAGATGTAGTAATTGATTTAGTTGAACAAATGTTATTGATTTAATACCCAAAAAAATGTGATTGATATAATAACATGTGCGTTCACACGAATTTTGATATTCAAGAGTGATGAATTGTTTGATAAGATGGACTTCTCTTTTATTGAATAATTTAATGACAATCAAGAATGATGAAACTATGAATTTTGATATTCAAGAGTGATGAATTGTTTGATAAGATGAACTTCTCTTTTATTAAATAATTTAATAGCAATCAAGAGCGATGAAACTATGGTTTGTTTTTAATATTAAGTTAATTTAATTAAACTTTTCATGGAGGGTCAGATTGAAAAACCACCAATACTTAACTCATAAACACATCACTCTTTAAAAAGTTAAAATATTAAGCCTTCTCTTGATTTGAGTAATGAGATTTAGAAAATGGAAATAGTTTTGTGAATTGAGTAGATCAAGACCATCATTTTATTAGGAGTCCAATTGATTACGTAGATACTTAAGCAACATATCTCATATATATTAATTTTAACGTTTGATTTTGAATCCAATTATATGTGAAACGTTCCTAACTTTAATATATTACCTGAAACGTTTCATTTTGTTGAATGAGTCTTAAATGTTAATAATAATTTTCATATAGAGATTAGTTCTTTGTATCAATCATGACATTAATATCGTGCTGGAATAAATTAGTTATTTGTATCAATCACTTATTGTATCCCAGCAAGTTTCAATTAGTTTTTTGTATCAATCACGAAACCAATATAATCCTCTTGTATATTCTAACACAACTAAAAGAGATAAAATCCCACTATTGTGATCCTCTTTACGGACAACAATAGCATAATGTATTAAAATTAAAACACTCTTAATGAAAGAAGCACACATACTTTATGTGATGATGTAGATTAAATCTTATTAACCAATAATCACATAGCATTATGTATCTCAGCCATTATATCCAAATCAAATCCCACTCCTTTGATTGTAAGTGAGTTCCTTCACTTGTGGTTCTATTGCTGTTTCTTTTTTCGGATACATACAACCTCAACTCTACCATCACTCACATAACTAAATCCTTTCGATTTCTCTATTATGCAATTTCACGCCCTTAGACAAAAACATCAATATATTAATTACTCTTCTTTACAACTTCATAAGTCGTTGAACACTTCAAAACCTTTTTAAAGAGATATATTTAAATTTATACTAATTAAAAATGGAATATTATATGAAAGTTAAGGGGAGTTTTGATTCAAGTCAATCACATTACTAACGTCACGATAACTGAAGACAGTAATTGTATTTTGAAAGCTAAAGAAGATGTTTGTGTACAAGTCCTTGGCAGTAAAAGTTTGTTCGAAGAGTAAATACCCCCTTGTAAAAGAAAATCAGAGAAAAGTGAATACATTTTAAAACCCGAGACATGACTCTATTAAATTTATTTGACCTGAAGTTTTCAAACAAAATTGTCTTATTATTTCACTTGGATTTAACTTCTCTTCTTTTAAAATCATGTTTGAATTGCTATCTTTTTTCAGCAATAAATGTTCAACACTTGCTAGAGCAGATTTGAACTAATATTGTAGCTCTATATTATTATTATTATCATCAGTTTTATATTGTAGCTCTATGTAGACTTCAACATCATAATAATAGAAAATAAAGTATACCACAACGCACGAATATTTTTTTCTTACAACACCAGAATTATGTGGTCGAAACTATACAAGATAATTCAGTATACAATATATTTTTTGAACAAATGTATTTTTACTCATGCTTTTTATGAGCATGGATATCAACGTTAGAGATCAAATATGTTTTGGGCTGGCTTGACAGTTAAACGTAGGCCCAATCTTACCCCTTTTTTTCGTATGGTCCATGCGCTCACGGCTCGGACCTCTCCGTTCTCCGTCGGGGGATATCGACCTTTCCCCTGCCAAACTGGCACTGACCTAAGATGATCGACGAGCACCTCTCAGTCTGCCCGACCTCAAGTCGCACAAATAACCAGGAATCAACTAGATCGCTTCCCGTAACCTACCTCCTACTTGGATCTAACGGCTAGTTACAGGCACACCTACCCGATATGAACAAGTCCTGGCAGTTACCTATTTTTGTGAACCCGCATATCCAGGCTCAAAAACAGGAACCAATGGCCATGTGCCAGGGGAATTATATAAACCCTCACACATGTGAGGGTCAGGTATCGAATATTCACTATTCACCACTAATACTTTAACACTTTACTTGTATCTCTTTGCTCTCACTCTTACTTGATTGTTAAAGTGCTTTGCAGGTACAACCCCCATTTTCCTCCTCGACATCACAGCCCGACCGAAGATCATCATCTGGCCATCTTGCAGGTTCTGATCAACCAGTAAGATCAGTGGCACCATCTGTGAGAAACCTATTATCCCCGTCTTTCTTTCCCCAGAACTCAAAGATCAAATAAGATATTCAAGATTCCTTTCACAAATCATGACCAACCATGATGATCTCCACCTGGTCAGAAGGAATATTCTTTCCCTAGAGCACAAAGTTGACGGAATCCAGGAACATCCTTACCTCGAGGATAACCTAGGTTTTTGAGACGACTGCATTGCGTCTCTAGATTCAATCGATGCTCGACGCAGCGACAACCAATTCTTGGAAAAAGGATATCCCAAGAATCCCACCGAGGAACTGTCAGAGATCCTGTAATCAGTTCCCATCTCTCTCAGCGCCGACTCGACCATTGCAGCGTTGCTTGTTGCCATCAACCAGACCAACACCCTTATCCTGCAGTAGAACCAAAGGATATTCCTGGGAGAAGAAGCAGTCAAGGTCTCCCCCTTGAAGAACCCGACGACGAGACTCCCCCAACATATCTCCACCTAGGCACGGCCTTCCACCAATAAAGGAGAAGCGCGACATTTCTTTCTTCAAGAAACGCAGTTGCACACCTCCCACGAAAGATTAATACTCTCCTTTATCCAAGAAGAGGAAAGGCAACCGTCAAATCGACCATGTTCGATTTCCTTCACCCGAACCAAGACAGAAACAGAGAAGCCCATCCCCCGACGAGACAACGACGATTGTCAGGGAAGAAATTATCACTCCCTTTCTCTGTCTCCCATAGAAAGTGACAACGACAAGCCCCGCGACCCGCTATCAATGGAGATTACGGAGGCATAACTCCCAGTCAGCCTGGAGAAGCCACCCCCGTTGGGAACCTACGATGGATCAACGGACCCCGACGATCACATAGAGAACATTAACGCTCTCCTCGACTATCAAGGAGTAAGAGGGGCCATTAAGTGCAGACTTTTCCCAACCACTCTCAAGAAAAGAGCAATGTCTTGGTACAATAGTCTCTTGGACAAATATATCACCTCCTGGAAGAAGCTTGGGAGGATATTTTCGAGGCACTTCACCGCCTCCCATCGACACCCGAAGTCGGAGGCTTCGCTCGAAGCAATCATCCAAGGCAGAGATGAATTTTTGTGGGCATATATCGAGCGCTTCAACAAGGAAGCAGTGTAGGTCTCCACAACCGGCAACA